ACAAAAGGATAGTTAGAAAGAATGAATAAGGATTAGTATTTGACAGCACAACAGAAAGACTATAGACAATAATTAATTGTACATTTAAAAATAATTGGATTGTTTTGTAAAAAAAGAATAAATGCTTGAGGTGATGTATTCCCCATTCGCTCTGGTGTGATTACTATGCATTGCATGTCTGTATCAAAATATCTCATGTACCCCATAGATATATACACCTACCATGTACCCCCAGAAATTAAACCTTTAAAAAACAGCTGTACATGAAAAGAATGAGTTGTACTGTATCTAAATTACATCTCAATACATTTAAAAAGAATTTGGGAAAGCTTTCTTTTAGTACTTTCATGAAGTCAGCAACTACATGAGCACTGCACTTAAGCCCTTAATTAAATTTCACAGTTCCTTTGAACTTGTTGGAGGTGTCCATTTGCTAACGATTAGTTTGTTCATACTCATTTGACTTTGATCTGCAAGGAGAAAATAGGAAAAGTATTCTCTCCCTCTCATTCTTTCTTTTTTCCTTCCCTCTCATTTTCTCTCTCCTTCTCATTGTCTCTCCGTCCTTCTTTACCAGTAAAAGTATACCTCTATATGTTGCTGGCAGTAGGGCCTGGAGATGGATTTATGTCACCTTTGACAAAGGCGCTTTCTGTGAACTAGATTCTATGGAGCTGCAAGGCCATGTTGGCATTGAAAACTCTAGGATGAGCTTTAATTAATCAAGTATCTGCTCCTGTTAGCCCCATAATGCATATGGAGATTTCCAGATCTTTCTTAGAATGCTGGCAAAGGCTGCCCTATTTCCTCTGGCAAGCCACTTCTTGAGTCTCTCTTATACAAAATGTGGAAATTGGAGGCAGCCCTGGGCATTGAGGATGTGGCTATGCAACTGTGATCTTGGTGAGTAGCGTTTGAAATCAGAAAAACCTTATATTAGATGGATTGAGGAGGGAGCTAGGAGATTGATATCCTCAGAAGGTGTTACATGTTTCTCTTGGAATTGCAGTTGCTCAAATTTCTCTCTTTCTCAGTTTTTTTTTTTTTTTTTGCAATGAACTTTTTAAAACTTTTACAAAACTAGACAGAATAGTTTGGTTGACCCCTGTAACCATCACCCATATTAAAAAACTATCAATTTATGACTAACCTTGTTTCAACCATACCCTCACTAACCCCTTGCCTTAGTCGTTTTGAAGCAAATTCCAGATATACCATTTCTTCTGCAAATATTTCAGTATTTATCTCAAAAATATAAATATTCTATTTTAAAAGTAACTATAATTCTACCTTAGAAAGTCATAATAAATTTCTTGATAATCATTAAATATTAGTATTCAAATTTCCAATTCTTTTATAAATGATTTTTTGTGTGTGTGTTTTGTTTGCATAAATGTGTTTAAAAACGATTTGCTTGAATCAGGATCCAAACAAGGTCTACACATTTCAATTCAATTGCTATCACTTATGCCTTTTTAAATCTGTTTCCCCTCTATTTCTTTTATAAAATAAACCTTATATTTTAGAATAGTTTAGTACAGTGATTTCTCATATACCCCATACCCATTTCCCCCACTATTAACATCTACATTGGTATGGTGCATTTATTACAATGAACGAAGCAATATAAATATTAACTGAAGTCCATACTTTATTCAGATTTCCTTAGTTTTTACTAACATCCTTTTTCTGTTCCAGGATCTCATCTAGGACATCACATTACATTTAGTCATCATGTCTCCTGTGGCTCCTCTTGCCTATGACAGTTTCTCAGACTTTCTTTGTTTTTGATGACCTTGAAGGCTTTGAGAAGTACTGATCATGTATTTTGTAGAATGTCCCTAAATTGGGCTTTGTCTGATATTTTTCTCATGATTATAGTAGGGATAGGGGTTTTGGAGAGGAATCTCACAGAGGTGAAGTGTCGTTCCTATCACACTGTATCCAGATTACATACTATTGACATGACTTATCATGGTTGACATTGGCCCTGTTCATCTGACTGAAGTAGTTTGTCAGGTTTCTCCACTGTAAAGTTACTCCTTTCTCACCTTTCCCATACTATAGTCTCTGGAATGAAGTCACTCTGTGCAGCCCATATTTAGAGTGGAGAGTTATGAGCCACCTCCTTGAGGGTGGAATATTTGCATAAGTTATTTGAAATTCTTTTGCACAGGAGATTTTTCTCTTCTCCCCCATTTATTTATTTATTTAATAGTCTATATAAATGGGGACTCATGGATATTTATTCTTTGGGTTATAATCCACTATTTTGTTGCTCAAATTATTCCTGAGTATATGCTAACTCAGGTATATATACATATCAATATTTTCATATGTAACCATCTGTATCTATGTTAAGTTTAATATGAATTATACTACTATCTCCAACTCTAATCAATTACCACAAAGATAATTTTAGCCTCCTCCCTTGCTTATCTCTAAATTTCCACTCTCAAATTTCTCAACAGTGGAAAAACTTGGCTCCTACCATCCACCATCCATTTGCTTAATTGTCCAGTTCCAGTGTACATGCATGGCAGTATCCAAATTGTAAATTAATCCATGGAAATAACTTTATCAAGCAGAATACAGTGCTTATGTGCAATTCTTTTTGTTTTTAGTCTTACAGACTCCATTTATTTCCAAAGTTACTTAGGTAAGTTGGCACTTAAGTTAAAAATACACCTATCATATGACCCATCCATTCCATTCCTAGCTATTTACCCGAAGGAAATGAAATCATATGTCCATAAAAAGACTCACAAGCAAGTGCTTATAGAGCCTTTGTTTGTATTAGCCCAAACCAAAAACAACTCAAAATGTCTACCTACAGGTGAAAGAATAAACAAATTTGATTTTTCCAAACAAATACGAATTAGCAATAAAAAGAAATGAACTATTAATATGTGCAACAATGTGGATAAATCTGAAAATTTTTACACTGAGTAAAAGAAACCAGATACAAAAGAACAAATACTGAAAAAAAAGAGTACATACTGTGTGAGTTCATTTATGTAAAATTTTAGGAAATGTAAATGATAATGACGGAAAGCTGATCAGTGATTGCCTGGGAATCAAGAGGTTTAGAGGAGTGGCAGGAGGGAGCAACTATAAAAATATAAACTTTGGGGGATGATGGATATGTTCACTCTCTTGATTGTGAGGATGTTTTCATGGACAAAATCATATGCAAAAGTTATCCAATTGCACAGTTTAAATACATACAGTTTACTTTATGTCCATTTACTCCAATAAAAAAGTCCGTGCTTCCTCTTCTTTACCAATTCACTCTAGACCAGCTCCTCAAAATTTAATGTACGCATAAAGAATGTACAATTCTCTCTCCCCTGAGAGCTGTGTTAAAATGCAGATTCTGATTGCTATGCCTAGGAAGTGACCCGAGATTCTGCATTTGTAACAAGCACTCAGGTGGTGCCATTGCTGCTGGTCTGAGGGGCCACACTTTGGGTTGCAGGTGTGGTGGTTCATATACTTTATATATAAGAATCACTTAAAGACCTTTTGGAAATTGCAGGTACTTTATACTGAGAGAAAAGAACTCCATAATGTCCTTTTTACAAGACCCTCGAAGATTCTGATGCTTGGATATTTGCTGACCACACCTTGGAAAACGTTAATCAAAAACTTGAAAACCAACTTGGCCATATTCTCTAATGCTTTCAATAATTTCTACCAGATTTCCAGACACCATTTGAAAACTTTTAAGTCTTTCCTCCAAATGTGTATAGTACTCATCTTTTGTTTATATAAAGTAAACGGAATTGGAGTCCCAGGTATAAAACTGGTAACATTTTAACAGGAAAATGCAAATAGTGAAGCTGGAATCAGTCAGCAGGTGAAAGTCCAGAAAACATTCTAGCAGGAAGAAGGGAGATAATTTAACACCTGGAGAAAAAGTCCACCTGTAACAATAACGAACTTGCCAATCTTCAAATAACATTTGAAAAAAGGCTTCCTCCTTCCTTCCTTCACTATAATCTGGGCAACAAAGCTGTGGAAAGACCACAAGTTGAAGTAAGGCAAACTGAGATTCTCAGCTCCTCTACAAATAACATTCTAACTTTGGGAAATTTTGTTTCCCTCTTGAGCCTTTATTTATTTATCTACTAAATGAATACAATAAATGGATTTTTTTCCAGTTTGTCGTTAAATTAGGAAATAATGCAAAGGAAGATCAATAATCACCCCCCTTCAATAATCAAAGTATAAGAATACACAGTTCACAGAAAAGCAGACACAAATGGAATTTACATATATGAAATAAGCCTTAACTTGATTCACAATAAGAGAAATGCATATAAAAACTGTTTTGCACCCATCATATTGGCAGAGATCATTTTATGCACTGTGTTAATAACAGCACGAAGAAAAGCACTCTCCTACACTGGCAGGAGGAATATAAATTGGTACATCACCCATGGAGACCAACTGGCCATGTCAACAAAAATTAAAATTTTTATACACTTTGAATCAGAAATTCCACTTCTCGAAGTTTGCACTACAACTGCAAGTACTAGTTCATATAGGAAATGAAGCATTCATTGCAGTATTTTTATGATACCAAAATATTAGAAATGTCATAAGTATTGCTAATTAAATTAATGTATGTAATATAGAGAATCTATATAATATAGCCATTAAAAATGAGACATACTTCTTTGAGAGGATCTCTAATATATACATGTATAAACACATATGATGAACATACATATATTAATATAGAAAACCTTTGAAAGAATGAGACACTGTTAAGGGTAGCTATTTGTTGGGAAGAAAACTCAATTCCTGGAGAATATGTTGGTGGGAACTTTGTAAACCCTTTTTTTCCTTTAAAAAGGAATACATTTTTTAACTTTTCAACTTTGCAGTTTGAAACATTTTCAAACTTACAAAAAAGTTGCAGAAAATGTCACAGAATTTTTTTTTTATTTTAGAGATGGGGTCTTGCTATGTTGCCCAGGCTGGACTTGAACTCCTCAGCTCAAGCAGTCCTCCCGCCTCAGTCTCTCAAGTAGCTGGCACTACAGGCACACGCCACTGCACCAGGCTCAAAGAATTCTTAGCTTCCTTTTCAAATGTTAACACCTTTTATAACCACATTATAGGGAATTAACCTTAATAGTATTAACTATTTACAGACCTTCTTCAGATTTCTCCACTTGAACCACTAATGTCCTTTTCTGTTCCAGAATCAGGTTTTCATATCACCTTAGTATCCTCCCATCTAGGATAATTCCTCAGCTTTTCTTTGTCTTTCATAACCTTGATGAATACTATTTAGTTATTGTATAGAATGTATTCGATTTGGGTTTGTCTGATGTTTTCTTCTGATGAAATTCAGGTTATATGTATTTGGCAAGAATACCACAAAAGCAGCATTGTGTCTTCTCAGCATCATATAAGGAGGTATGTGATGTCAATATGTCTTGTGATTCGTGATCTTATCTTTGATCACATGGTTAAGGTAGGGTTTCTCCCCTATGAAGTTATTACTGTCTCTCTTTCATGGGGATATACTTTGAGGCTATGCAAATATTTTTTTTCTCAGAATATTAACCCCAGTCATTTTAGGATATATTGATGATTCTTGCCTACAATTAATACTGTGGTGTTTGTCAACTAGTAATTTCTATTTTCATCTTTCCTTCTGCACTTATAAATTAGAATTCAGCTGTGAGTGCCGGGCATGGTGGCTCATGCCTGTAACCCCAGCACTTTGGGAGGCCAAGGCGGGTGGATCACTTGAGGTCAGGATTTCAAGACCAGCCTGGCCAACATGATGAAACTCCATCTGTACCAAAAATACAAAAATTAGCTGGGCATAGTATCCACATTTGCTTTATCCGCTCATTAGTTGATGGGCACTTGCCTGTAGTGCCAGCTACTCAGGAGGCTGAGGCAGGAGAATTACTTGAGCCCAGGAGGCGGAAGTTGTAATGAGCCAAGATTGTGCCACTGGACTGCACTCCAGCCTGCACTGCAGCCTGGATGACAGAGCGAGATTCTGGCTCAAAAAAAAGAAAAAAAGAATTCAATTGTGAGAAACAGATTTTCCTCCCCAATTTAATTACTTATTCAATTATTTATATCAATATGGATTCAGGGATATTTATTTTATTCTGTTTGTTACAATCTCTTACTACTGACATTTATTTTGTTACCCAAATTATCTCATATTTGACCATTGGAAGCCCCTTGAGTTTGGCCAGTGTGTCCTTTTGGCATGTTCTTATCATGTTTTGAGTACTTCCTTACCTTGTTTTCTGGCACTACAAGGTATTCCAGGCTCATCTGCCCTACTCAGACCTGGAATTAACTATTTCTCCAAGGATCATTATTTCTTTTTACAGGAAAATGATGTTTAGAAACCAATATATGGTTACTGAATGTGCTAGTTGGTACTGGTGTGTCATTACTCCTAGTCCTTAGAACATAGATAAAGCTAAGAATATAGATGCATACAAACATACATACACACACACACACACACACACACACACAGATTTGAGTTCATATTGATCCCAAGTTCAAATTGATATCTCTACTTCTAATCTCACAATAGTTTATTCTCTTATTTCCCCTAATCTTATTCTATTCTGTAACAGTGAGAAAATTGGTTTTTGTTATTCATACTATTTTATTTATTTGCTCAATCTTAAAATACTCAAAATAGCTTCAGAATTGCTAATCCAGAGTTCTGTGAAAAGCAAACTTACAAACTAGAATATATAATGTTTGTGTACAGTTCTTTTGTAATTTAGCTTTTTAAAATACAGCCAAATACCATTTTCCAGAGTTACTTAAGTTAGTTCTTTTCTTTCCCACCTCCTTATTGTGGTTATTTTATTCATTTGTAATTCAATTAGGTTTATTTGTTGATGTATTTAATTTAGGATTTCCCCTACAATATTTTTATTGTATTTTCATTTTGATTTGTATTTTTTTATTTTTAGTGTGTGAAACATTATTATGATTCTGAAAGTCAGAACTTCACAGAAAAGCATACGCAGATGTGGAACCCCTTTATCCCTTACACTGTATTGCCATTCCTTGTTATTATCCACTTTGTTCTCATCTACCCTCTGTAGGTGACTAATCTTAGTTTCAAACTTATTCTTCCTGTATTGATTTTTGCATACCTGGGCAAATACATATATATGCTCTTATTTCTTCTGCTTTCTTACATAAACGGTAGCACACTAGTATAACCAGTCTTTTCCATTTAGCAATGTATTCTGGAACTCTCTCCATATCAGATCATTGAGATCTCCTGTATTTACTTATACAGCTGCAGGGTACTCCCCTGTGTGAATCTTTCTTTGTGTATTCCACTAATCTCCTATGTATGGGCATCTAGGTTGTTTTCAATATTTTATAATTTAAAATAATGCTGAGATGAATAAACTTGTGCAAATGTGTTTTTCCTCTCTTAGAAATGTATCTTCAGCATAGATTCCTAGAAGTGAGATTTCTGGGTCAAAGGTAAGTGCATATGTAGTTTTGTTTGATCTTGCCATCTTCTCCTTCATATGGGCTCTACCAATTTGCCATCCTAATGCGTGAAAGTATCTGTTTCCCCACAGTCTCACCAAAAGCTCTTGTTCATGCTTTTTAAATTTTCACAAATTTAATAGTTATGAAATGGTAACATTCAAAGGTAGCATTTTTAAAAGTGATATTATAAATTGCATTTATCTAATAATGACAGTTTGAATATCTTGTAATATTTAAAGATATATTTATATCTGTTGAATTGTTTATGTCTTTTGCCTATTTTTTAAATCAAGTTTTTCTCCTTTGTCCTTCAATGTTAAAGAGTTGTTTTTAAAATTTTTATTTCAATAGCTGTTGGGATACAAGTGGTTTTTGTTACATGAATGCATTATATAGCAGTGAATTCTGAGATGTCCATGCACCTGACACCCAAGTAGTGTACACTGCACCTAATATGTAGTTTATTATCCCTAGTCCCCTATCCACCCTCCCACTTCTGAATCTCTAAAGTCCATTATATCACTCTGTATGCCTTTGCATACTCATAGCTTAACTCCCACTAATACGTGAGGACAGAGTTTTTGGTTTTCCACTTCTGTGTTACTTCACTTAGAATAATGGCCTCCAGCTCCATCCAAGTTGCTGAAAAAGACATTATTTCATTTCTTTTTATGGCTGAGTAGTATTCCATGGTATATGTATATACCACATTTGCTTTATCCACTCATTAGTTGATGGGCACTTAGGTTGGTCCCACATCTTTGCAATTGTAAATTGTGCTGCTATTAACATTAGTGTGCAGGTGTTTTTTTCATATAATGACCTCTTTTCCTTTGGGTAGATACCCAGTAGTGGAATTGCTGAATCGACTGGTAGATCCACTTTTAGCTCTTGTTAAAGAGTTTTTAAATACAAGTTGAACACCCCTAATCTGAAAATCCAAAATCTGAAATGCCCCAAACTTTGGAAACCTTTTGAGTACCAACATGACCCCACAAGTAGAAAATTCCACACCTCACTTTGTTGATGGGTGCAAAAAGTTACTAAAAATATCATATAAAATTACTTTCAGGCTATGCATAGAAACAGCATATAAAGCATAAATAAATTTTGTATTTAGACTTGGGTTCCATTCCCAAGATATCTCATTATGTATATGCAAATATTCAAAAATCCAAAATATGAAACACTTCTGGTCTCAAGTATTTTGGATAAGATTTACTCAAACTGTAATCAAAATGTTAGCCCTTTGCCTATGCTATATGCTACAAATTCTTCCATTTGCATTTTTTAAAATTTTTTCAGAGTCTCACTCTGTCACCCAGGCTGGAGTGCAATGTTGCAATCTCAGCTCACTGCAACCTCCACCTCCTGGGTTCAAGCGATTCTCCTGCCTCAACCTCCCAAGTGGCTGGGATTACAGGCATGTGCCACCACACCCAGCTAAGTTTGTATTTTTAGTAGAGATGGGGTTTAATCATGTTGGTCAGGCTGGTCTCGCACTCCTGACCTCAGGTGATCCACCCACCTCAGTCTCCCGAAGTGCTGGGATTACAGGTGTGAGCCTCCATGCCTGGCTTCCCTTTGCATTTTATACTACATGCATATATTGCTTATTTTAAAAAATGTTAAGTGCCTGTAGACACAAAATATTTATCTACATGTTTTGTAGAAACTGGAAAATGTGTCAGGTTTTAGGGTGGGAGTAATTCAGTTTTCAGTGAACATCTCGGTCCTTGCGATTTTCTACTTGCTGTTTCTCTTAGGAGCCCTTAAGTCAAGGAGCAGACATGTGCCAACTAGGAGGCCTTGGTGGATGGCCAGTTCTAAACAACTGAAGGCCAACCCTGACTCTCACTCTGTCCTTGTATCTTGTGGTACATGCACCTGTGCAGTGTCACCAGTTCCAGGAAATAAATAAAGAGTTACACACATGGCTCATTTTCCTGCCTCATGGCCCCCCCGCCCTCATGATCCAGTAAACATTGCAGGCATGATGCTTCTGCAGACATGGCAGTTCCTTCCTTCTAAATATAAACGCAGAGACACTAAAAATAAAGTGTTAAAGGTGAGTTTTGTTGGTTCCTGAAATGTCAGTACACCAAGTATATAAACTTATTTCTCAGGGAGCCAAGAAGGAACAGGTGGCTATGCACTTATAACTGGGTTTTTGCAAATGCAAAGAGAAACTGTCAGAAGCTTGATGGACAGCAGCCATATCTTGATTTTTTTTAAGTTGTGCTAAAAGCAGGACATCAGGGAAATAGTTCTTCCATTGTCTAATAGATTTGTATCAGGGTCCTTAAGCACATGTAGTCCACAGGAATGGAATTGAGGCTTGATAAACCCACTTCAGCAAACCAGGGCTGAGAGAATGCAATGACGAATTGATCAATCATCAGCCCAATGAGCAAAGCAGGTGAACAGTACAGAGTTCCTAGAATCATGAGTCAACCAAGAGAGATTTGTGCCTGGCATAGCACCTGGTCCATAATATACCATTAATATATGCATGATCAAATGAATAAAAAAGTATCCCACACTGGCTTGTATTGTTATGAAGGCTCTGAAGGGTGATGTTAAATGCCTAAGAGTTCGGATGAGAAAGGCAAGGCAGAAAGTGACGGCAGTAAGGCTCCGAAACTGATACTTGGATGTTGGCAGAATTAGAAGTATGGCCAGTGTGAGACTCAGGACAGGATCTGCCAATGTTCAACCTCACAAGACGCAACAGGTGACAAAAACAGTTCATAATCCAAGCTTAGATCACATCAAGACAAACCAGGAATTCAAGATCCCACACTGTAAACAAGGTCAGGCCTTGCCAACACCCATCCCAACTCCCTAGTGGAGAAGAAAGCACACTTCATACAGGCAACGGCAGACACTTGAGAACTCACGTTGTATAACCAGTTACCACACAGAAGCCATCTTATCTCCCAATACAAAGAATGTGTCTAGGTTACTTCTACGACCTCAATATTACTGTAAGATGTATTTTCTACAGCCACTCCCTGTCTCCTCACCCTTCTAAACAAATAACCAAAAGAAAACCAAAATAACCAACCACTGGCATTCTCTGAAGGTTGCCATATTTTCATATTCTTTCATGACTTTGTTTATGCTGTTTGTAAAGCCTTTCGTTCATTTATTCATTTATCCATTCAGGAACAAGTTTTCTTATTGGTTAATTATGATTCATTTTTTGACTTGTTGGTTTATTGATTGCCACTTATGTCCTTAGTGCTGCACTAGGTGCCGTGGATATTGTGTTCACATGTCTGTGAACAAAACAGAAATGCTCCTGGCCCTCACAGGAGAGACAGAAAATAAACAAATATACACAAATATTTACTTACACATTGTCATAAGTGCTAAGAAGAAAATGACTCTGAGAGGAAATAACAGATGGCGCTGACTGTAGAGACTATGATTCGGAGAGGCCTCGTGGTTACTTACTCTGTGGAACATTTTCTGACCAGCCCACACACCCACCTCAACTGAATCAATACTATTCTCTGTGCTCCAAAGTTATAGCTTCTAGTTTTGACTTGACACTTTTGTAGTTGTTTGTATATCTAAGCTGTGCACACAGACTATTAATTCTCTCAATGCAAGGAGGATAAAGAGAAAAGCACATGGAATTTGGAGTCAGAAAAACCTTAAAGTGAATGCCAGTCTTCCACTTAAACCCTAGGATATTTGGCAAATATTTCAATCTGAGTTACCTGAAAGTAGAGTCTGAGGTGTTAAGGCGTGTATGCAAGTAGATTACTTGGGAAGAGATCCTAAGGAGTAGGAGTGAGAGATGGGAAGTGGAACAGGGAAGAGGGAGGAGGCAATGCAAGGATGTGCCCTGGAGTTGGCCACCGCTATAGACAGAGGGGCTACTGGCCTTGGAAGGAGCCATGTGAAATGGGCCTCAGATGACAGAGGGAAACATTTATATATTGGCCCATCCTCCACTGATTAAAGGAGCCCACATGGGCATGACTCCTCTCCATGTCTAAGTTGTACAAGATATGAGTGACCAGTGGATGCAACAAGAGCCTACATGAAGTATCAGGGACGCCTCAGGGCAAGAAGCAGGAGTGTGGGCTGGGCGCGGTGGCTCAAGCATGTAATCCCAGCACTTTGGGAGGCCGAGACGGGCGGATCACGAGGTCAGGAGATCGAGACCATCCTGGCTAACACGGTGAAACCCTGTCTCTACTAAAACATACAAAAAAAACCAGCCGGGTGATGTGGCAGGCACCTGTAGTCCCAGCTACTCGGGAGGCTGAGGCAGGAGAATGGCGTAAACCCGGGAGGTGGAGCTTGCAGTGAGCCGAGATCGCGCCACTGCACTCCAACCTGGGCGACAGAGCGAGACTCCATCTCAAAAAAAAAGAAGCAGGAGTGTGGACCAGGTCCACACACACTGTCCAGCTGCCCCGTGTGAAGGTCGGCAATCTTGTGTGGAACAAGTTGATGAGGTCATGACTGGAGTAAGAAGCAAGATGAGAACGTTCAAAATTGAGGTGTCTAAAACCCACATCTACAAAACAGAGACAATAATAATATCTGCCTCATAGGCATCTGAGAGTTAGGAGAGATGCTTTCTGTGGAAGTGTTCTATAAACTGCAAATTCTAATCGTTATTGCCGTTAAAGTGACCTTTGGTTTATATAACTAGAAAAGTGCCTAACACACTGTTAAACAAAAAATAAAAGTGAGTTATGTGAGTTACTAAGTAAGAAGCGTGAAGGAGCAAATATAGAGGTATCCCAAGCTCTTTACCCAAGGTTCCTACCAACGTAAGATTTACCTATTATGTTTCACATGTCCCTAGCCTGTTCCATATTCATGTAGATTCAAATGAGGTACATAGTGGCAGAAGAGACATTTTTAAAGTAGCTTTCTTGAAGAATTTATTGAGGCCATGCCTTTGAAAGAGAGAGCTAGGGGAAGGTTTATTTGCCTGTGCAATGTTACCCCATTCATGGGCTTAATCGTCTTTGGCTTTTGCCATTGTTTGACAAAATATTTGAACAGAAGTTGGGTGGGAAATCTTTAGAAATCAGAAAATGGGGTTCTTTTGCCTTAAAAGCATATAAACTGTGATGAAAGCAGAGCAAGGCAAATTACATTCTGTCATAAAGAATCAAACAGGTGCAGCGTGCTGACAGAATCAACAGCCACCCTGATCATAGATTAACTGGATAGAGGTCAGACAGCACCAACCTAGGAAGCTTTCATTTCATTACAACTTCCTTCATGTCAGTAAGCCCTTACAGATCCTGTAATAGGCAGAGCCAGGCATGTGCTAGGCCATGGGGCTACAGGGATGGCGAGGGTGACAGAAAAGGAGATTAACAGTGAGAACACAGTGGCATCAAGAGAGGCATACGAGAGTGTTCACAGAGTGTAGAGAATGGGTGCAAATGAAAGGTGCCTAAGTCCACTTGCAGGGGAAGAGAAAGAGGGCCAATGCAGGTTTCAAAACAACAACAACAAACACAACAACAGATACTTCACCAAAAGCCTGCTGGATAAGTAGACTTTAGTTGGATGGAGTGGAGGGGCAGGGGTATTTCAGGCGAGAGAACAACCTGGGCATTTGTCTAGAGGTGGGAGGAGGCCTGATGCTTTGGAGGAATTGCAAGGTCAGTGTTAAGGAGCAAGGGGAGTGAAGAGGGCAGGGATATGGTGTGAGAGCGGGCTGCAGCTGAGGGACCTGATGGGGCAGGACCATAAAGAGCCTTCCATGTGGACACATGCATTTGAACTAGCCTTTGGGAAAATGCAAGCCAGAGAAGGATGTTAAGCAGTGGAATGATGAGATATCAACGTTCTGTGTCTAGAAGATATCTCCAGCCATGGGATGCGAGAGAGCGGAAGACCAAGTGGGGCTGGATACATGCAGAAGCTGGAGCTCAGCTTGGAAATGATCATAGTGTTGAGTCCGGGAAGATGTATAAAGGCCCGTGGCAATGCAGTAGGGATAAACAGGTGGTGATGGACTTCCAGCAGGGACCCAATATGCTGGCGACCATTCATTTGGATGTGGAAGATGAAGGAGGAGATGGTCAAAGCAATAGCAGGTTTCTGCCTCAGGTGACCAGGTGGAAGGTTGTGCCATTTGCTGAAGAGAAGAAAAGGCTCATGGAGAAAGTGGACCCAAATTGGAAGAATAGAAACATGGTTGGTGGAGACATCTGCTTGCAATGTTTTATTTTTCTCTATTTATTTTGGGACATGGTATCCTCTTGTAATATTTTTACACATGAAAAGGGGCATAGTCCTCAAAGGCTGTTAGTTAGGACTGTCACATATGATTGTACAAGTCTTGCCCTGTGAAAGGGCACCTGGCCCAGGAGAGAGCGAGGCTGAGCTGCAGCCTGTGCAAGGCTCCTTAGGACTGTGCAGCCAGGGTTGTGTCTGCCTGGGAAAGGGGTGCCCGTGAGGATGCTTCCCATCACCTCTCTGGATCCACTTCCCACCCTCCTCTGTGCCCTGGATGGCTGGCCTGTGTGGATGACATTGTCCTCTCCAGCACCTGGCTCAGTTCCACCATGGGAGGTGCTGGCAGGAGAGCAAAGGGAAGAGTATTTCTCTTGGCTCCCCTCCTTACTGAGGGCCATTGATTGTCTCTCTCCCTTTCTGAAGGTCACAGCTTCCACAGCTACAGTTCTTGCTTTGTCTGAGTACAGGGCTCTCTCTCTCTCCTTGTCTCTCAGGGCTCCCCACTGTTGCTAGCCCCAGGATACCATACCATTCCTTGCAGGTTTGCCTAAATCCCACCCACGTCTTTGTAAATGGTGCCTTCCCCTCACACTTTCCTTCATTATCCACTTTGACTGTGTCATCTGTTTCCTGCCAGGACCAGGACTGATGTTGAATATTTTTCTAATTAATACAAGGCAACATCTTCATTCACTTCCCCATGAACCTGTGAGGCTGTGACTACCACAAGGACGCCTGTTTCTAGTTCTCAGGAAGGTGCTGTATTAAGCAAAGGGCCCTCTGGGTTCTGAAACTCAGGGGGCTTTGATTCCTCCGCAAAGTGGGAGCCAGATTCACTTTTTAGTCGCACCCAAATTTTGAGCTAGAAGGGAAGAGGGAGGAGAGTGGGGAAGAAAAGGTGCTCAGAGTCAGCAGACCACTGTGGATTATCAGTATCAGGTATTAACATCACCCCTCCAGCCTTCACTGGGAATTGGGAATCGACACTTGGGAATGTTTGAGTGCAGGTAAGGCAGGTGTCCCCACTCCGCCAGAATGGACTACTCTATTTCTTCAAGTTTATTGATTTCTTACTTGACCATCACCTTCCCCTCCCCTGGCTATATATAGCTCTTTCTAATTTTCTTTAATTTAATGTGGACTCAGTAAAAGAATATTTTCCTTAACCTTTCAGGTTTAACAAGATATTGTGAAAGCCATTGATCTCCAGTCTATCATGCTGGAGAAGTAGGGAAATGTCTGTTTGTAAAATGTGCATGTCTGCCTGTTGACACCCAGTTGTTGGTTCATTTGTTCATTTATTCATGCATCTATTATTTATTCATTCATCAAATTGCTATCAAACGCTATCTAAGACTTGATCATTGTATTTATCCTCAGCTGGACCCTTCTGCCCTCTCCTAAAGGAAGAGGAAGGAGGCATGCAAGGCACACAGCAAGGTGGGCTGATGCCAAGCTAGAACAAGGAAAGTCCAGTTGGAGGAGAGGTGTGGTGGGACCTGTAGCTGACCTTTCCCCTCCCTGCAGCAAACCTTTCCTCTCCCTGCAGCCAGGCCTGGGCCACATGGGTATGAAGACCCTGGCAGTTCACATTCTTACTCAGACTCACACACTTTGTACTCTGATGCTGACATGGAGTGACTGTGCTGGCAACCCACGTGTTTCCAGATACTTGACCTAGCTGCAGGTATGAAGGCCTTACCTCCTGGCAAATGTGAAACAAAAGTCAAAGGGGACAAAGAGCCTATGTGCTTGTTCCCCACTCCTTTCCATAATCAGCTGATGACTTGACTCACCACCAAGAGTGAGCATGAGGGATCTGTCCATTCATATTCATCTTCCACCCTTTCCAGGCTTTGGATGTGTGGAGCTGTGCTAATTTGGAGTTGCTGAGCTACAGGACAGTGTTAAGAGAGGCCCTGGGGTCTCATATTTATTGCTTGAATACCTGAAATCCTTATTACAGGAAGTTACACAGCTTCCAAGCGGCATATATAAAATGAACATTGCAGTTTGATGTTCTGGGGAAATCCCAAGTATCATGCTTTTTCACCAGAGTGATAAATTGACAAGGGACCAGTGTTCTGGTGCAATCTTGCTTCTGTTTGCCTGCCTTCCCCATGAGTTCTCTATTTCCTAAGAGCCAAGAGTGAGCAAATAGGCCCTTACTCATTTTAGAACATTAGCCCTCTAATTTACTTACTTTCTTTCTACGCCTGATTATTGGTACTTGTACTGAAGTGGAGGAGTCTCTCCTAACATATTCCTCTGCCCTCCCCATCCCACCATAATTGAGAGACGGAGAGAGAGAGAGAGAAATTGGAACTCGGGTTAGGATCTACTTTCCAGAATCTTTTATTTTCTTCTTTTTACTTATCTACCTTCTTTCCCTTTTTCTTTTCATTCCATTTCTCTCTCCCTCTTTTATTCAGTAATTTATCCAATTATCCATTCATTACTTTGTACCTGGAACCTGAGCTTAAGATAGCTGTGCCCTCTTCCTCTCCCTGTTTAGGATTTAGATGTAAGTCTGTGAACGTCAGGATGATGTGTGGCTCAACCTACCTGTGGGTCTGCATACCTGAGTGACGGGGCCTCCTAGGAAAGACTCTCTCCACAGGAGGGGGAAATGCACCTACTAGGTTCAGTTGCACTGGACTGGGACTGGAATGGAGACGGGGGTGGTCCTGGTGGGGTTTGAGGAACAGCACAGTGCCTGTTACTCTGATGTCTTCTGGTCCAGCTCCCGGAGCCAATAGTCCTGGGAAATCCTGTGCCTGGGTCCTGAGATGAGGGTATTGGAATTAAAAAACAAGTGTAAACAAAAATAGCTCATCACAAAAGCATCCCTAGGTTACAGGAAGCAGCAGGCAACAGCAGCACCAGCCAGCCCCAAAAGCCAGGCTGAT